CTCCAGAAATATCACACCATTTCAGTCTTTCCAAGACAAAAAAAAAAAAAAAAATCCTTTCACTTAAATATTCAAATAATTGTGGCAAAAGAGAATGCTTTCTTGTTCCTTTTTCTTTTTTTTTAACCCAATAAAGATGTCAAATTTACATTACTCTGTGAAGAAACATACGCTGAGTCTGGTCAGTTGTTCACACACATGCTTCCTTCTACTTTAAGACACATGGTATGGTCTAAGAGTTTAGAGCATTTGTCTCCTCAGTTTGTATGAACACGTAAGAGCAAACACATTTCCCGTCAGCAATAACTGGGCATGGGGTAATTTAATGTAAAAAAAAATGAGGCTGTTTCTGTTTATTTCTTAATTCTGGTCTTCTTCCCAAATTTTCTCTCTGAGGGAAGTTTATAAAAAACTTTCAGATTTCATTTATTTTTCTCATCTAGTGAATATTTATCACACTCCTATTATGAGCCCAAGACCAAGATGTGTTTCCTGCCCTCAAGGAGCTTGTCATCATGTGGAAATTTTACGTGACAGAAATAGGATGGAAACAGGGGGATTCAGTGCAGTGTGATCTGTGCTGCTGTGGGTAGGGGAAAATGCAGTGTGTAGGGGAGCCCAAAGGAAGAGCACTCATTCAGACTTGGGGAGGGGGCAGGGTTTCTGAAAAGCCTTCCCAAGGGTGTTAATTTTAGGCTAAAAGGATGTGACTGGGAAGTTAAGGAGGTAGAGGGAGGAGGCGGTGTGTGTCAGGCAGACCAAAGCACATGCAAAGGCCCTGAGGCAGGGGAGAGCATAGTGGTTTAGAGGAGCCTCAGACGTGTGCAGTGTGGTTGGAGTCTAGCACTCTCAGGGTAAAGTAGGGGGAGAACCGAGGCTGGAGAGGGTAGCAGGGTCCTAATCATGAAGGCCTTGTAATTTTATTTAGGCATTTATCTAAGTACTTATCTTGAAGCAGGAACCACTTCAGGGTTTTAAGTAGATTAGTGGACACGACCATGCCTCTGTTTTAGAAAGATCACATGGCTGCAACACAGAGCATGGACTTGGTGGAACACAAATGGCAACTGTTTGAAAGTGAAAGGCGGTGGTGGCTGAGCCAAGAGGAGGGAGGAGGCAGGGAGGGCACCTGGGTTCTGCTCGGGGTGTTCAGGTAGCTGGTGGACTGAAGGAGGAGCAGGATTGTGAGCAAGATGACCAATTCCATTTTGGACATGTTGAATTTGAGGTATTGCAGCATTCAGGAGAACAGAGATGTCCAGCCCTTCCTGGGATATGTGGGTCTGGATGCTAGAGAGGATAAATCAGCAGGAAGAGGAGCATCCTTCATAAACACACATCTGAAACAGCGGGCTGGGCCACAGGAAGCTTTGCCTACTTATTCTTGGGTTTTGGAACTCTAAAGAAAGGTAATTTCCAACATGATGACATTTCCTCATGGTGTAGGATCATAGTAGTTTCATAAAAACATTAACCCCGCTCCAAGGCAAACTCCCAGGGAAAAGGTCTACATTTACTCTTTCCTTAATTCATTTACATGTTGTGCTCTTAGATGCATGAGAATTTTCCATGAAGTTCATTTTTACCTCTGGAGTAACAACATCTGGCTTTGGAAGGAAGGGACCCTATAGAAGCATATGGGCTTGAGAAGTTTAGTTAGTTGGCATTTTCGTGCAATGAATTTGAAACATTTTGTTTTCTAAGTGTCTTACATAAAATTGGGAGTCCAAGGCAAATCATCACCAGGAAATCCTGTCTGTCTTGGCTTTACTTGGTAAAGATCCCTAAAGGACCTCTCCAGGTGACAGTGAAGTGTGACCAAGAGTGTGATGACCAAGGCCATCAGCTATGAAAAATACAAGCCGAGTGTTCCTCCACTCAAAGTTAGGCAAACTTTAAAAATACTCTGTCATTAATGATTGTTTTCTATATGTGAGGTATTGTGTTAGGTCCTTATTTACGTTCCCTCTAATCCTTAACAACTGCCCTCAATGGGGGATAGTGCAGATGTATAAACTAAGAACACTGAGTAAGTCTGGTCACTCTGGTCAAGAACACACAATTAGTAAAGGGTGAGGCTGTCAGTTTTGGGGACCCAGTGACTGCAAGCCCTACCCTTTCTATCCCACCTTCCTACTTTCGGTAGCACCTAAATTGTCTTCATTTCTTGTTTTGTAGCTAAATTCATGCCCTGTTATGTCAATACTGTTTTGTTTATGTAAACCTGTATCCCTAATCTCTCTTGTCTTACCAAGCAAAGTATTTATATTTCTGCTGTTTTTCCCACCTCACCTAGCTCCGTGATGGGCTCGTGGTAGTCCGTGAAACCATGAACAAAAACCGAGCCTGGTCTTGCAGCCCAAGTGAGTGTTTCTGAATCAGGATTTGATAGAGGTCTAGAAACATAGTTAAAAAGGTGTGCTTCTTTTCTTTCAACTCAACTGGCAGTTGGAAAACAGGAACAACTATGCACTCCTGGGTGCCTGAGGGCACATGACCAGCCCTGGAAATCGTTTTCTCCTCGGTCGTGAGTCTTCTATATTCCCTTTCATGGGAAGTCCTGGTGACAAGTTGCTTACAATCCTTTGCTTGGGGGCAGGCTGCCATGTTGATGCTCCCCCAGGGAGCAAAGGTGATGAAACAGGGACAGAAGATACTGGGTCCTTAGACATGGGTCCTGTTCTGTGGTCAACTCTATGTCCCTGGACAGAAGATTAAACCCCTCCGTGCCTTGGCTTCCCTGTTCCTACAGGACAAGAGTGATAACCCCCATTCTCTGTGTCTCGCCAGCAACTCAGGATCGTAATACGAAGTAACGAATATAAAAGTGCATTGGAGTAAAGACAGTGCATACACGAGATTTAGGATCATCACATTTCGCGAGACGATGGAAACCAACCCGAATGTCTGTTACCCTCTAGGCTGCTGATGTAACTGGAAAAGGGCCACTGCTTTTAAGGCAGGGAGTCCCAAGAAAAGAGTGCTGGTTCTCAGTATCTGCCCTTAAAGCAGATGCCGCGTCTCACCTTTCCTGCCCTCCTTTTACACAAATGTTTGACTCTGATTCTGAAAATTGTCATCAAGTCGGCAACAGTATAAAATGCCCAGTTGGAATTGACACATTCATCCTAGGTTCCAATTAGTGTCAACCTCCCTTAGAGTGGAAGGGGAGATGGGCGGCTCATAAGGAATGCAGGGGCACTCTTCCTATGAGCGATGGTGTCCCAGCCCCATCGCTTCACCTCTAGCAACTGAGATGAATAGGATGTCTGACGCTCCAGTGATGTGTGTGCTTTCTCCTAAGGGCCCAGCAGCTTGCAGATCTAAGAGGCAGGTAACACGGGTGTGTGCCCATGGGCAGAAAATAGGTCTGTGTGTTTTGAACGTAAGTAGATGCCAACACATGTGACAATGTTTTATGTATGACGCTGTGTTCATAGGCTGTCCGTTTTTCTTAAATTGGCTAACAATGAATAACAGAAATGGTAACTGCATACATCTGGATTTATTAAAAATCCACGATCTATCAAACATCCATCTGGAGATTCTAATGGTTAAATAAAGGTTCCTATGGAATTTTTTTGTGCCTATGCCCAGATAACTCTCTCCTAAGTATTGCCAGGTTCCAGAACTCCAGCGTGTACAATTCATGTTTCTAAATGACTAGTTGGGCACAGAACACATGATATAAACTTAGTTACCGCAAAGGTCAGGAAATTCTCAACAAAACCTAAAATCATATCCAATATAAGCCTGATATACTTTTAACATTTGCTGTAACTGTTAGTCCTATGCTCAAAAGCTATTGGTATAGAAGGGAGCATGCGATAGGCACTTACTGTATACTAGTTGATGACTCTGAGATTGAGCCCAAGACATATGTCTCAAAATAAAGACCTACAGACAAACAGAATAGGAAGTGAAGCTTTTTTCTCTTCATCAGCACTCAAGTGGCAGAAAGAACGTCCCTCATTACAAGTCAGGAGATCAGGCCCACCTGCATTCTAAATAGACCCTCATATTTTAAAGTTTCAACTGTGCTTTCCTTACATTTAAAAATCACTGAGTACTAAGCCAGAAAAAGTGACTCGAATTCAACCCTGGTCCCCTTTATAAGATGCAGCAGGTTGCTTATCCATCAAGAGAGCTTTTTATGAAGTTATTTGCCTTATGGCTGTTAGATCCCACCTTAAACCAGGATGTCTAAGTAGACTCTACAGCCCACAGAGGGGCCTGCCGTGATTCAAACAGGAGCTTCGGGGTTTCTGAGACCCACAAAGCATTCCACCCCGCAGGGGTGTAGGCATTTTGTCCCTCCATGAACGAGCCCAACATCCCAAGGACACCTAGCTTTGTATCAACTTCAGTCATCCCCAAAAGTGCATTAGTCACTCCGAAGAAGGACAAATCCTTATTATTTTACAGGATCATCTCTGCCAGGGGTTGCCATAAAGTAAGCACGCTTCAGAAAATTAACAGAGTCATTTCGAGCCTAAATCCGTAGTATTAAAAAAACAATCCAAAATGATAGCAAGGTATGTGAAACAGCGACAACACAACAGAGGGGATTCTCTTCAATGGGGGCATAATTTAAACCCCCCAGGCATCAAAGCCTCCCTTGAAGACACGGTCACCCCACAGAGGACATTTGCAGCTGTGTCGTACTAATGCATCTGCCTGCAGCCCCTGCTCTTCTCCCCAGGCACTCACATCTTCCCATCCGATTCCGAAGGAAAGTCCCCACCCCAGTCTCTACCCTCCTACCTCATCTCTCACAGCACCCCCACATGCACACCTGGCAAAAATTTGTTTCAAATTTTTTCATCATCCTCTGTTAAGAAAAAAATTTACCCACGACCTAGTATTCTACCGTCCCAGGAATTCAAATTTTTCAGGAAAACAGGGCGACCAGAAGGGATGCTATGTACAATGAAACAAACAACTCCTTTTCTTTGGAGCAATTGCTCCACGCAAAGCAAACAGCCCGCCACGTCGCTTACCCTCTCCACGCTGCGTCTTCTCAGAGATCCATAAGGAATTTTCAGTAAAAGTCTTTGAGATCTGTTCGGGGCCACTGCAGCCTGAACCACCATGGTGTAGAGCCGCGTGTGTGCGTTCCTGTGTGTATGTGCGTTCCTGTGTGTGAGTGTGTGTGTGTGTGTGCGTGTGTTCCCAGCAAAGTGAGAGACAAGGCTTCCTCCAAACTAAGTTATGGTCTCCTGGAGGTTTCCCAAATATCAAATAACCGAAAGAGATTTTTCTTTCGACCATATGAGTCGATGTGGTTCGTTGGGAGGCGGGGGGATGGGGAAGCAGAAAAATAGCCCAAGTTCTCCAACTTCAGCCCGCCTTCAGCAGCAGCGTTGGCCGCCCCTTGTCGGTCCCTGCCTGTCAGTCCTTCGGTGAGACTGCGTGTCCCAGAAGTTGGCAAGCTGTGCCTCTGGGGAGAGTGATCCAGAAATGGCAACTTTGCTTCTCGTGGCTACAGACGGTAACCAGGTCAGTTGTCTAATCGAAGAGCTATCAGTCGTATTATTCATTCCATCACGTGACTCCAAAGCCCCTCGGCCATACAGTAGGTCACATGCTCACCTTAAAAAGACTGTTTGGAATATCACCATCTGGTGTGGAGATTAATGTGAAATCCTGCATTCTGATTTCACTCTTTTCCGAACACAGGAAAAATATTTGCAGACCCGTGACATAACGCACTGGGGACTTGGAGGGATCCTTGCTCGCGGTCATAAATTACACGTATGACCCTGAGCATCAGATGCACTTCTCTGGTTTTTCTCTCCTGCTTTCCAGTGCATAGAAAAATGAATGTAGGAGTGCAATTAATTATATATGTGAATGTAGTCCGCAGAGATAAAGTGTGAGAGAAGGGGAAAAAAAAAAATGTTGGGGTATCACGTGGTCTAGATGAATCGAATATATGAGACAGACTCGCATTTGGCATCTCTTCATTTAAATGTTTGTGTTATAGAACATTTATTTTTATGTGTGTCAGTAAATGTGAAGAAGTTCTGTTTGATTTTACAAGGCTCTGAAAAGGACTAAGTTCAGATTCATCCATCACGTTTGCCTATTCTTTTCTAAAAATAGCGTGTAATTCCAGATCAGATAATCCTCTGAAGGATGGTACACATGGCCTAAAATTTTAACTTTTCTGTAATATTTTGTAATTGATATATTCGTCATCTGTGGTCCCCTGTCTCTGCTCCCCCCTCCAAATATGCTTATCTATAGCAGAGAAAATTACAATAAAGAAAAACAAGTAAGGGGCTTCCAGAATTGGAGGGTGTTTTTTTGTTTGTTTGTTTGTTTGTTTGTTTGTTTGTAATGTATTTCTACATCAGCTGCTCCTCTCCATTCTGGGTTTTATGAAAGGGATGCCATTTCCTTTGTAGTAATTCATGCTTTTTGGTGTTAGCCTGATATCACTTACATGCTTTGGGATCCGGCTTTTATTTACTCTCTGCAGACCAGTTTATTGCCAACCATGGAAAAGAAAGTTCTGTTTATTCAAAGATTCTAATAGGAAGTGGGGCGGGGTGCAAGGGGGAAGAAGTGGAGGTTTACATGCTGGAAAATGAACCAGGAAAGACTCTCAGAAGGGGGGTGCTGGTGGGGGTAGGGTGGGAAGGATGGAAACGTGGGTCTGGTCACCCAGTGCAGACACACATTAAGAGGCAGTTAAAGAAAGCATCAAGTTGATGTGGGAAATTCCAAATATACAACAATCGGGCTTTGTTCGTAATTGGTTCCATATGTGCATGGAGGAGCCAGTGAGGGGGTGAGAGAGAAGGCCAGCAACAAGGAGAGACTTGCGGAGCGTCTCTGGCTAGGTGGTTGAGGTTTATATACCTTTTTTTCCCTTTTCTCGCTTCCTTCCTGCACTGCCTGGTTTCAAACTATTTTGGGGTGGCAATAGATCTGGAATGATACCCAATGATTGGGCCAAATGCATCGAATTTCCTTGATAAAACCCCACTCGACTACGTAACCGTTTTGAACAAAGGACAGGCACATTTTCAAAACACTTATCTGTCGCGAGTCCTGGGACTGCTTCCTTCCAGGGCGGTTTGAGAGGGGGCGCTGGACCACATCAGCTGAGAAGTCACTGTCTCTCCTCCCTGACCCGGACCAGGGCAAAGCCCCTGGGAACTGAATTTATTTATATTTGACTAAATGCAATTTCCTGTTTCCCAGGGGTATTAATGAGTGTTTCACTGAAGAGCTTAAGGCCTCATGGCACAGTTCAGATCATAAAGGACACTTTGATGAACTAAGTGCAAATAAAACAAAAACATATGCATTTGATTAAGGTTAAAATACATATAGAAGAGAATGTTAATGGAAACAAAAATACCCCTGAGCCAGGCTCGCACACAGTTGAGCCCCATCTACTCTACCCCCCGGGGGGTGAGGAGCAGGATCATTTCTCTATCAGAACCAGTGCCTTCTCCCAGCTAATGGGGAGGAGGAGGTTGGCTCTGGAGCTTTCTGCAGTCCCCACAGAGTAGCCAGCCACCTCCTCAGACAGATCTGAAGGCTCTCAAAGGTCAGCTTGTCCAAAACTATCTTTTTTATGGTTTTGCTGTAGGTGTTTAAGATTTACACATTTAAAATTAGTTATTGAGACAAAAGCATTTAATTTCAGAAGGCCACTGTTATAATACAGACCTGTTTCCCAGGAAGGGATATGCATTCACACCTTTGCAGATCTGACCACTTTCCGAGAGGTGAGGGGGACTAACGTTTACTGCGTACCTAGCAGTTGCCCGGCAGCGTGCTAGAAGGTGACCCAAGGCTATCTCAATGCAGAAATGAGCTTCGGGGTCCATATTTTACAGTTGATGAAACTGGGGCTCAGAGAGGTTAATAATTTGACCAAGGTAACACAGCTAGAACTGTCAGATCTAAGATGAAACCAAAGTCAAGATGTTTGATTTCAGGGCCTGACTTGGCCCATTATATACTCTCACGTGACACAGAGGACTTCATCAGATTACAGCAGGTTAGAAATCCAGAAAGGACAGATATCCATGGGACCTAACAGAGAAAGTGAAAAATCCCTGGCTTTGAAAAAGAGAGAATTTAAGCCAGGAAATGGCATAAGAAGGAGCAGTTCTAGAGTCTCCAGAACTGCTGTTCTGCTCTCCCTTGGTGAGGAGCATGGGTGACAAGAAGAGCAAAGAAGCCCACAGGAGCTAGGGAGGCAGGACAGCCCCTGGCCTGAGGGGTAAAGGGAGGAACCTAGGGCCCGGGTCACCTTGTAGAGGCTGGAACCCTGTGGACCCACGGGTAAGACCTGATCACTGCTGGAGCCCTGGGCCAAGGCCAAGTGGGGGGCAGGGGGGAGGGAGAGGAAGGCCCTGCTCCTCCCTTCTACTCCCCTCCAGCCTCCTCGCTGCATCCTCCATGCACTGATGTCAGCCGGTTGACAGGGAGCCCTGGAAACAGCCATTGGGGCGGGGGAGGGAAAGAGGAAGAAGAGATCTGAGGGTAGATGCCCAAGATCAGCACTGAGACCAGAGACTTGGGAATAAAGGACTGGGAGAGGGTGAATAAAGAGTAACTATAAGACAACAGAAAAGCAAGGGGGAAATATTTGGAACAGAGTATTACTTACAGAAAGCATGTTTTTGCCAGGATGGTGGGCACGGAGGTCCCCCGCGTACCCAGGGCACAGTGTAATGGCCCACGGGACAGATGGGGAGCCTGCTGCGGGGATGCAGTGAGTGAACCCCCAGGAGACGGGATGGAGAAGACCCACCTCTGCTCTAGAGCCCCTGTAGCTGCTGTGTTTGATGCCTCTTGGAGCAGAGCACCCAGGCCTGGTGGAGAGTTTTTTTTGTTTATTTTGAACATTTCCTTCCCATCTCAGTGAAAATGTTTACATTCAAACTCTGGAATGAAAATGCATAGGGATCGATTGAACCATATTTCAGGAAAATCAATGGTCTTGACACACCAAAGCAAGATGTATCAAATCCAATGGGTGTTCTTGGTCACAAATAGCAGGAGGTGGAAGAGGGGGCTTGGGGGATAATGGCCTGTCAGGGAGAAAGCACGTGACAACACCAGAGCTAGTGGGGGGCAGCCGCAGGAGAGGGGAGACCCGCTGCTGAGTGTGTGGACAGGGGCACGGCAGCTGACACAGATCAGGCCAGCGACTGAGCTGGCATGTGCTGAGAAGCCATGGGAAGGTTGGTGGGGGGGGGGCGGAGGGGTTCCTGATAGGATACTGAGAACTGACACAGAAACGGGGACACTGGTCACTGCAGCCTCTTGTCCAGACTGTGCCTGGACTACCGGCCTCCAGCGTTCATCCCAACTGTGGCCCAGTTCCTGAAATGACCATTCGTGAGTCTCATCCTTTTGGCCCCCCGAAGTTCCCCGTGTATGCGTATCTTACCTCAGACTTGTAATCACTGGTACTAGGTAAACTCGTCTACACAGCTTTATTTTGTTCACTTGCCAGAATCCGGAGAGAAGGGATAAAGGGGCAGAGAGGTTTGGGCCAGGTTTTTGGGGTGGGAGGAAGGAGGTAACAGGTCACACAGTGGGTACAGTGGGGTGCCATAATGAAGCTCCTGGCCCGAGGGCAGCCTGAGGCCACTGTGGCGGTGGGGGGTGGAGGGCAGGGGCAAAGGGCAGTGAGCTGAGCAGTGTTGGGAAAGTGAGTTGAAGCGCCCTTCTGGAAAATAAGGACAGAAGCATTTCAAGAAACGGTACCCTTGTCTTCTTTCATTCTCTCTCTGGTAAAAGGTGAAAGACCGCTTACATTAAGGACACAGATACAAAGCTGACAGTGTAAATGCCTCTTCTAATGTCCATCTCAAGCCATTATTTGTTGTAAATTTAGCAGCATGTTCAAAGGGGACTCTCTCGGTTTCATGGGTCTGACGACCACAGGTGCCAACCATTCCCTCCTTCTCTGTGTCTTCTCGAAGCATGCAAAGGAAAGTCTGAGACCAGATTTGAGGTCCATGTTGACCTGGTTCTGCAGGCTGTCAGCAAAGGAATCAGAAGAACGAGGAGGGCGGGAGCCTGCTGCCCCCTCACCTCAGGCCCAGCGAGGGGCTCCGAGAAGGAACCTATTGGGAGGGGTAGGGCGAGTTTTTTAGGGGATAGGGCCTGGCTGAGCATGGGTGGCAGCCAAGAGAGGAGAAGAATGGTGTAGGGGAAGTAACTTCCATCCCATCATCTTGGGTCAGCTACGAGTGCCTAAGAGAGCTGATCTTGGTCCGTCTCAGGTGCTCAGTGTGGTGTATGAAGGGCTATGGAACTCCAGGAGAAAGGGGCTGGGGCTGTGGGGCAAGAAGGGATCTTAAATGACTAAGTAGAAGAAAAGACATCACTTGTGCCAGGGAACTGTGGTGGGAAGGGGACAGGGTGTTCAAAGAACCCACAAGGCACTCCACTCCACAAGGACCTAAACATTAGGTTTAGACATCCATCAGCCCCACAGAGAGAGCCCAGACGTGCTAGAGGCAGCTCAGGGAGCAGGGCCCATGGGGAGGGACATGGAG